GACGTCAGGAATTCAAGACCAACCTGACCAACACGGCGAAACCCCGTCTCTACTACAAATACACAAATTCACTGGACACGGTGGTGGGTGCCTGTAATCCCAGCTACTCAGGAAGTTGAGGCAGGAGAATCACTTGAACCCAGGAGACAGAGGTTGCAGTGAGCCAAGCTTGTGCCACTGCACTCCAGCGTGGGTGACAGAGCAAGATTCTGTCTCAAAAAAAAAAAAAAAAAAAAAGACAACCCATACCATTGGCCAGGTGCAGGGGCTCACGCTTGTAATTCCAGCACTCTGGGAGGCTGGCAGGAGGACTGCTTGAGACCGGGAATTCGAGACCACCCTGGGCAACACGGCAGAATCTCTGTCTCTACAAAAAATACAAAAATGAGCCAGGTGTGGTGACACACATCTGTACTTCCAGCTACTCGGGATCTTGAGGCGGGAGGATTGCTTGAGCCTGGGAGGTCGAGGCTGCAGTGAGCAGTGATTACACCACAGCACTCCAGCCTGGGCAGCAGAGTGAGAACTTGTCTCAAAAAAGGAAAACACCCAAACCCCTCCAAAAGCATAGAACTGCCTTTCCTGTTAGATACCTCCACTGCTGTACATATTGCTCAGTTGTGACGAAACGTCCCTCGTGTTCGGTTTTGGATTCCCTGAGGTGCGGCCTATGGTGTGGCCCTGGACTCAGGAAGCCCATGAAGGAGGGAAGCGCACCAGCTGCTGTGGCTGCATTGCCTGTCCACACGGGGTTTCCAGCCAGACAGGTTAGCAGCTGCATCTACACCCTCCCGTCCACACCTGTCATCCTTCCTGCCCTGACTCCAGGTGAGGGCAGAGGGCCTCGGAATTACAGGTAAGTCTTATTTTTATTTTTATTTATTTTTTTGAGATGGTGTTTCACTCCTGTCACCCAGGTGGGAGTACAATGGCGTGACCTTGGCTCACAGCAACTTCCATCTCTCAGGTTCAAGAGATTCTCCTGCCTCAGCCTCCCGAGTAGTTGGGATCACAGGAATGTACCACCACGCCCGGCTAATTTGTTGTTGTTTTTTTTTTTTAGTAGAGACGGGGTTTCTCCACTTTGGTCAGGCTGGTCTCGACCTCCTGACCTCAGATGCTCCACCCGCCTTGGCCTCCCAAAGTGATGGGATTACAGGCGTAAGCCACCGCACCCAGCCTCTGGTAAGTGTTCTTTACTCAGTCATTTATTCACTCACTCGACTAATTCATTCATAAATTCCATTGCTGTAAGTTAGTAATCCCAAATAACCTAAACTTCCACCTGCCATGCAATGCCCTCACCACACACCTTGCCTGGTCAGCTAATTCTTCCCAGGGATTTCCCATCCCTGTAATTCCATTAAAATGTCTAAACTAGGCTGACCGTTTATAAAACAGCAAGTCAGAGTAAAAACAAAACTGGGCTTAGATCCAACAAATCACAACTGTCACAGAAGAGGCTCAGCTGGGTGCAGTGGCTCACGCCTGTAATACCAGCATTTTGGGAGGCTGAGGCGGGTGGATCACTTGAGGTCAGGAGTTTGAAACCAGTCTGGCCAACATGGTGAAACCCCGTCTCCATAACAACACAAAAAACTTAGCTGGGCGTGGTGGCAGGTGCCTGTAATCTCAGCTATTCGGGAGGTTGAGTCAGGAGAATTGCTTGAACCCAGATGGCGGAGGTTACAGTGAGTCGAGGTTGTGCCACTGCACTCCAGCCTGGGCAAGAGGAGTGGAACCCTATCTCAAAACAAAGAACAACAACAAAACAGGCTAACAAAATGCTGCAGCAGGGTATGAGTTGAGAAGTCATTTCTGAGACAGGGGATGGGACCTGGGAGCTGTCCAGCTTCTGAAAATATGTGACAGGAGACAGAAGAACTAAGATTTTCTACACAGCAGGACAATGTGCCTCTCGCTGTTGAGGAGACTGGGGGTGGACAATCAGCTTGGGGCTAAGAAGCCTCTGGGAAAACGCCCAGACCGCACTGTTGAGCCAGCCCAGGGGCTCACACGCCCCCGGATCCCCACACCCAATGCTGTCCAGAAGGCCGCAGGCCACACCACTGCTGGGTGAGGTTGACGAAATGCTGCCTTCTCACATAGGGTTCTAGCAACTAATGTAAAAAATGTAAATAATGTTATCGAAATTAGGATTTTATGTTGTTTCAATTCAAACAGAAATTCAGTTGAGGACTTAATAGCCAGGTGTGGTGGCTCACACCTGTAATCCCAGAGCTTTGGAGGCTGAGGCGGGTGGGTCACCTGAGGTCAGGAGTTCGAGACCAGCCTGGCCAACATGGTAAAACGGCATCTCTACTAAAA